GGGCAGATGACCGTGTGATTGAAAGTAAACAACGAGATGATAGTGCAATTATCGAATCTGATTTTTGATCATATGCTGCCCGATGGCGACCAACAAAGCCGGGGTAGGAGATTGTCGACGTTTGAGGACATATTGCCATTGTAGCGTGCCTTGAGAGCCTATACATCTGCTCGATCTGCTGCCATCTTTGACGGATGAATGAACGTTAGATACGTGTGCTCTGAAGCAGTGCAGCCGATATACATAGTTGTTTGTCTCACTTCCTCTTCAAACTGTACTACTTGCACCGCCGGGGCGCTAATGAAAGGTCTCCGCAAGTCTCTCAACGGACACAAGGATGGTGGCGTGCGGCTCAAATATCGACCCCCGTGCCCCTCCCCTCGGTTTCGCGACCCCCTGCCGCCATCATGCCGCCTCAGAAAGTGATTCGTGCTATGAGCGGCTACCGACCCCAGGCACCTCAAGAGCTCCCTTTCCAAAAGGGCGACTTCTTTCACGTCCTGCGCGATGAAGAGCAGGGTCCTACTATGAGGCGCATAACCCCATCTCCGGCGCACGAGGACTAGTTCCCAAAGCCCTGTTCGAGGAATTTAACAAGGATTCGGCAGCGTCAGTCGTCATCAGCTCTTTTCTACGCGTGTTTCTTGCTCAATTTATGCCTTTAGTACGCGCAACGTCAGTGCCCCTGGTCAGCGGGCCACCATAGGTCGGCCGCCAAGCCAAGCCAAACCGCCACTCAAATCCCAGGTCTTTTACGCTATCGTTCAGCACGATTTCTTCGCTGAGAGGGCAGACGAACTCGAGGCTAAGCGGGGAGATGCGATTACCGTCGTTGCGCAGTCAAATCGGGAGTGGTTCGTGGCTAAACCAATCGGACGGATTGGACGGCCTGTTCTGATCCCGGTGTCGTTTGTGGAGATCCACGATCCGTCGACGGGTCAGGCCATCCAAGATGTGAACTCGCTGATGGACCGTGGTGACTTGCCAAAGGTGGAGGATTGGAAAAAGGCGATGTTCAATTACAAGCAGAACAGCATCGCGCTGGGGGTCGTCGATGCCCCGCCTTCCTCATCATCCCCACGAGACTCTGCCCCGAGCAGTCCTTACTTGACGCAGAAAACGCAGATCGCACCCATATCCTCAGAAGCCACCATCGCCCCACCAGCATCCGAGCTGATGGACCCTTCCTCCACTGAAACAGCAGACATACAACCGGAAGGACTACTGCTGTCCGCTAACGTGGTTTCTTTCCATTTCGAGATGGAAGAGTACTGGTTCCGCATCGACGCCGTTTACCAGCCATATGCTGCCCCTGGTCGGGCACTCCCATCTGCCAAATCACTCATCCTGTTTCGCGTCTATAACGACTTTTACGATTTCCAAGTCTCTCTCTTGAACGAATTTCCTCGCGAAGCCGGGCGGAATCCACCGCACCCTCGAATTCTCCCATTCATGCCGGCCCAGCTGAGGACGTCGACGATGCACTGACTGCAACGCGGCGAGCAGAGCTGGACGAGTATGTTATCGGTTTGCGGGATTTGAGCTCTGTGGGCGGCAGGTACGTTCTAGAGCATTCCATTGTGCGAGAGTTCCTCGCCATCAAGCCCGGAGACATGGAGACTGCGTTGCCGCCCCGAGTTGACGAACTCGAAGCAATCTTAGCTGCTGGGGAAGACGGCGACGATGAGTTGCAGGACTCTTTGGGAAGACTGCGGGTGGATGAAAGGCAGACTGTGCACAGTGATGGCTCGGATTACGAGGACGACAACTTCGGACAGAACCCGTACGGTCAACTGAGCGGCAGGCGGACCCCCGACAGCAGTCTGCGAGTTCAGGCGATGACCAACAATCACCGGCGAACAGGCTCGAACTCATCTCAGAACCAGCCTTACGGGCGATCGGACTCTATATCACCACCTCCGACTCGATGGGCCGAAGCATCGAACAACAACCGGCCAGTGATGCCGACGTCTCCATCTTCTTCATCTCTACACTCTAATTCCATGTCATCACGCTCCCGGTCAGGCTCCGTTGCCAACGCGAATTCGCCGTCGATATCAGCCGCTAATCCCCAAACCGCATTTGTGAAGATCAAAATATTCGACCGCGTGGCGGACGATCTCATTGCTATTCGAGTGCATCCACGCGTCACGCATATGGAGCTCATGGACAAGGTCCAGCATCGGTTGGGCGGCGAGGTTGCCCAGCTCAAATACCGACAAAGCTTGAGCAACGAGCTGGTCGAGCTGGGCAACGACCAGCAACTGCGTGCTTGGATAGACGGCACGGACAAACATGTGTTGTATGCCGAGTAGTTCAGGCTGGGACTCTTGGATTTCATAACTATTTCGTTCTCTCATCTAGCCTTTGAGTCTTTATCCATTGCCGCATGTAATAGTAATGTTGCTTATATTCTGCGATCTGGTACACTTAGTTAGTTTGTATCCTTTACACGACTTAGAACCACAGTCATTCATCTGTATGTATCTCACCTTGCATCTGCAAGATGCGCTCGCCGCTGCAGGACCCCAAACAGGCATCAACACCGTCATCATTGCTTCCCTTCTCCTTCCATGCCGTCGTTGCAGCGATATTTGCGGAGCATCTACCGCGTCGGGTTCCGGGAGTGGTGGAGACAGCTGAATTATATTGGCGACGCCAAGTCCGGACGTTTCGTCGGAGCGGACCAGTTCGTTCAATGAACGTGTTTGCCCAATCTACTTGCTCACTGGAAGTTGCTCAGGTTCGGGAACAAGTACTACGAGAACTACAATGCTGAGGAAGAGGTTCCTGGTGCGTCCTCGCCGCTTATTCTAGCCTACGCCCAGATGTGAACCCCGCTCAGGTCGGCAGCGATGGGTAGACTTTGCTCAGGTGCGCGCCGCAGGAATCCTTCCTCCCGCTTCGCTTTTGACAGTATCCTCTTTCGCAGCATCACTACCACGCCTCCCAAGTCCCACCTGAGTGGCACTCGTGGATCTCGCATATCCGCAAGGACGCGCCGACGCAGGACGCGGTCATGATCTCGTCGGCTCAGCCATGGCAGCAAGTGCGCCGAGATTCTAGTCCATCTGTTTCTCTATTGCTCACGTTGTCTTTTTGCTTGTTTCTAGCCTTGGACGGAGAACCTCACTGGAACCCGAGGAGCATATAAACCCTACAACACTGTTGCTCCGAAAATCAACGCATGGGAACCCACGGTCACTCCGAGAGCATGATATTGCAGTCATTATGTACAATGCGGAGAGCCGTCACCGAATACTAGATGTGTCGAGCCCGAGGGAGTGCTCAACGACGTGCTCGGCAATGGCAAGCGAGGAGGTCAGCCCTGGGCTCTCGATGCCCAACAAACTAACCAGTGGGCCTCCTCTGGCAAAGTCCGTTCGGATTACGAAGTCTTGAAACCCGCCAGTCGGTCCTGCGAGCTTTGGTCGAAACCCGACGTAGTCTGGCTGCAGACCATCGAGGATGACTTTCGGAAGATATCGCGTCACGGCTTGATGCATCTCTTGCAGCTGGATGTTGTTTGCTGTGAGATGTTGTGACCAGAAGTCGGGACCTTCGCCGTCTTGTGGCGATAACCACTCCAGGTCAGGCCCGAATCTCACGTTTCCTTGTAGGTCGAGTGTGAGATGTGTCCCCAGAGATTGGAAGCCATGAGAGCTGCCTTGCGTCTCCGGGCAGGGATAGATCAAGTGTGAGATTCCGGTCACGCCTGGACCGCGGTATTTCGCGTAAGATCCTTTTGCAAAGTACATCTTCAACCGTTCCGATGGTGGAAGCAGTGTGTTCGTTATCAGCGGAGCGGAGAGGCCTGCGGCGTTCACCAGCGTCTTCACGAACAGCGAGTCGCTCGAGTCGCCGGTGATGACCTGTACCACCCAGCCGCATCTGTCTTCGTCCCTGTCCACGCGAACGACGTCGGACGAGTACGCCAGATCGCCGCCGGACTCTGTAATGTCTTTCTCGAGACTGCCCATGAAGGCGTGCGAATCAATGATCCCCGTTTCCGGGGACCAGAGCGCACCGGATATCGAATCTGAGAGATTGGGTTCCATCTCACGCGCCTGGTCGCCAGATATGAGTGCCGTGGGAACGGCCGGCGCGTCCGGCTTCGCGGAGCGAGAGTCGGAAGGCCAGTGGCGGAGGCTCAGGGCCTTTTCGTGCAGCGCGGCGATGTAAGGCTGCTGCGCTTTCGTTGCAACGACCAGCTTGCCCAGTTTCCGGTGCGGGACGTTGTGTGCGTCGCAGTATGCGTAGAGCAGCTCGCGGCCCCGGATGCAGAGACGCGTTTTGAGCGAGTGGGGTGGATAGTACAGGCCTGCGATCGCTTGAGCTGCGAAAAGACGTGGAATATTCAGCAGGCACGCGCACCCGAGTGGATGACTTCGGAGTTGCGCGAACTAATCGAGGGGATGAATATTCACTAGAAAACCACGAGCGGAACGCGCTCACCTGGTCTCTTCGCCCTGTCCAATTCAATTGAGGGGAGATGGAGTAGGTTGAAAGCTTACTGCAACAGGATGACGCTCTACCACTATCGTCGACTTGTCAGGGAACTTTTGGCAGAGTTCGCGTCCAATGGCTAGTCCGACCACCCCTGCGAGCTGATGAGCTTGAACACCGCGAGAGCGGATGAGTTTCATACCAGCCCCCACAACGAGAAAGTCTACAGCGGATTCCGGTGCCTTGAATGCATGCTTGTGGTTGAGGCTGGATATGATCGCGCGAACGGACATCGGGTGGCTGTGAGATTAGCCATCAGCATCAGAACAGGCCGCAGTCAGGGCTTCGACCCGTTGTCCTTCCATTGTCTCTACTCGACAAACCTTGGACTAGCTTGGCTGCCGACCCGCCTGACAAAGAGCATCCGTAATCCGACACTCGCGACCGTTGGTCGCAGCTACAGTACCAGATACCCGCGGTCACGGACACCGCCAATGCAGGATACTATAGTCTGAGCGATCAACCCTTGCAGGGCAAAGGCTCAGCGGTCTATGCCAGTAAGCTTGCATGAGAATGCATCAGTCGTACGTCGGGTCTGCAGTCCGTCTGTCCTTTCGATCTTACGGTATGCGCATGTCTCTCATATCATCGTGATCTGCAGCTTGCATCTTTGCGAAGCACGATTTGATATTTCTGAAGCTTATCGTACTCCGGCTGTGCTCGCGGGGGCTCTGGGCATCTCGCCTGAGCATCCCTTATCCCAGTTCCTCTCGTTTTTTGGCTGTCAAGTGATGTCTGGGCCGCCACACACCGCATGACTTCGAACAGGCAGTCCTTTGATTTCGGCGGCGCGGACGATCACAGACCCGACGAGCGCATGTTCTTATGACAAGCTCGTGGGGAAGCTTCCGCCATGGACAGATCTTCTATCCCAATGCATACCATTCGGCGACGAATCTGGATGTTTCGGCACAGGGACACGCTTATCCGTTGCACATCAACGTCGGGATGGGACGGTGCGGTGGATATAAAATGGCCTGCAGGTCGCACGGATTGATAGTATCCAGCACTCGCAGAGTACGCTCGGAGACCCTCCCCCTTCCACTCCAGGCATGCGTCTCTCTCTGGTCTTTGCACACCTTGCGGCGGTCATCGCGCTCTCTGGGGCGAACCCGTTGTTCTCCCGGGCAAATCTGGTCGTGCATGACAGCGTGAAACAGGTGCCGGCGGATTGGGCGAAGCACCCCAGCGCAGTCCCGGCCACCAAGCCACTCACCCTGCGTATTGCATTGGCAAGCTCGGACCGTGCCGGCCTGGAGAAGCTGACTTACTCTGTGTCCAATCCCTCGAGTGCATCTTACGGGCAGCATTTGACTCCCGCAGAGGTTCGTCGCTGGTCCAGGTGATCCTGCTCTGTGTAATATTAATCCTGTTTCCAGATCGCTGAGTACGTGAAACCGACCTCAGAGACGCTGGCCACAGTCGATGCTTGGCTTGCGTCCAACGGGCTGACAAGCAAACCGGTCACCAACGCTGGCGACATCATCGAGATCACGCTGCCTGTGAGCCAGGCCAACAGCCTCCTCGCCGCGAACTTCACCTCGTTCACGCATCTTCCGTCCGGGGAACTGAGCGTCCGCACGCTCAAGTACTCGGTGCCCGCTGTGCTGTCGAGCCAGATCAAGTACATCCACCCGACCGTCGCGTTCGTGCCCCCGATGAAGAACACACCCGAACTGGCTCCGGTCAAGCTGTCGCCCAAGAGCAGCAAGCGCGAAGTTGTGGAGGTTCCGACAAAACGTGCCACCGCACCAGCGTCCTGTGCCACCGCTGTCACTCCGGTGTGTCGTGTTTATATGTTGTCTCTTCCCTGAACCTTATGGCTGTCACAGGCCTGTCTGATCGACTTCTATGGCTTCCCGCTGGCACACGCAAACCACTCGGCCGTCAACAACACATTGGGTGTTGCTGGCTATATCCTCGTAAGCAGCGTACGTTCCCTGGCGAATCTTCCGCTTCTCACTCTCGGCGAGTAGCAATACGCCAACCATGTCGATCTTGACGTAAGCTCCTGCTTCTGTGCCTTGCTGCGGTTGATTTACCTTGGCCACAGAACTTTCTGTCCCTCCTCCGTCCCGACCAAATCGGCGCCAACTTCAGCCTCCTCACCATCGACGGTGGAATCAACGACCAGGACATCAAGTAGGGCCTGTTTTTTTTCTCCGCAAGTCAGTTGAAATCAATCCTCTCCCTCAGCAATGGCGGCATCGAAGCGGACTTGGATATCGAGATGGCTGTCGGAATGGCCGCCGGTGTTCCGGTCACTTTCATCTCGGTTGGGAACGACTTTGTGGACAATGTCAACGGGTTCATCGTCAGTCTTTTCGCCTTTTCGATTCTGCGACTGTCACTCATCCGGTCTGACTAGGACATCGTCAACGAGATCTTGTCGCTCCCGGCTGAGACCAGACCCACAGTTCTGACCACCAGCTATGGGTTCAACGAACCGGATCTGCCAGCTGAGCTGTCTATGTAAGAATTATGTTTTCTGTGGCAATATGTACTGAAACAAGAACCAGTGGCATGTGCGACGCTTACATGCAACTCGGTGCCGCTGGAATCTCCGTGTTCTTTGCCTCGGGCGACGGTAGGTTATCTGCATCATTAGATCCGTCCTTTCGGGCGTTGTGCTGATGGCATCCCAGGCGGCGTCAGCGGAATCCAGTCTCAATCCTGCACGACCTTCATTCCCACCGCTCCCTCCGGCTGTCCTTTGTCCGTCTCTCCTGTTCCATTGCTGCCAGCAGGGTATCTTATCGGCCAACAGCGTGACTTCCGTCGGAGGCTCCACCGGCCTCCAGCCTCAGGTCGCAGCCTCTCTGAGTGGCGGTGGATTCTCCAACGTCTTCCCGGTACCAGACTACCAGCTCAGCGTGGTCAGCTCCTACATCTCATCCATCGGCACCCAATACGCAGGATTGTACAACACCTCAGGCCGTGGCATTCCGGACATTGCTGCTCAGGCAGAATCCGTCGAAATTGGCTGGGGTGCGTCGAACTCTTTTACGCTCTGCAATCCTCTGACTGATAGCGTATGCGAATAGTTGATGAGGTTCGCATTGAGGCCTTCTTGTCCATTCATCAGGAGCTGACTTGGCTGCTAGTTCTGGCTTGTCAGCGGAACGTCCTGCGCGACGCCCATCTTTGCTAGCATGGTCTCGCTCGTCAACGATCGCCTCATCGCCGCAGGCCGACCTGTGCTCGGTTTCCTGAACCCATTCTTGTACAGCCCGGCCGGCAGAGCTGCCTTCACAGACGTCACTTCCGGCACCAACCCCGGATGCGGCACATCGTGCGCTCGTCTCTCAGTCTGTCTGGCATCGATGCTAACCTTATTCGAAGCGGATTCTCGGCCTCGGTGGGATGGGATCCGCTCACCGGTCTTGGGACACCTAACTTTGACTTGTTCCTCGCTGCAGTGGGATTGTAGAGGATCTGTAATGTATAGTCGTGCAATGGGAAACTTGATCCATAGGCATGTAAGATTGGAAGCAGGACATAGATGAGATGTGGTAGGACATGGAAGATGCAAGTAAGGACAACATGGAAGTAGCGAGCAAGTACACGGTGTTGGTCTCGGAACGACGATTTCAACATCTCAGACACATAGGATTGCCTCATTGCGGCGGGGGCGTCCTTGGTCCTAGCAGAAATGGTTATCGCGCTCGACCAGCTGCAGGTGCAAAGGCACGCACCGAAGAGCCCACTTCTCGGAGGCGGAGTGACCATCGCCCGGCCTGGTGCAACGGGCGCCGCCAGCAACGGATTCGCTGGACGCATGAAAGATAGCAATGAGCAGGGCGCAAATCCGAGTCCGTTCAAGGTCACGCACGTCTCCAGTTGGCCCAAGCAGGGAGATTGGGTGCCGGCGTCGGGGGCGGCATCGGTGCGGGTGTCGGTGCGGGTGGCGGGGCTGCCGCCGGTGGGGCTCGCACACGCCGTGCTCTCGGGACATGGGGCGCGGAGACGGTGCGCCATCCGCCTGGTGCTGGGGCAGCTGGGGGCGGAGGCTCTATCATGGCCAATGGAGGAGACTCGATCGCCGGCGGCTATGGTGATTTGGAAGGTCAAGGTAGATGAGGGATAGGCGGAACAGGACGTCAGGGATATGATGCACGGGATGGTCGAGTTTCAGCGTACGGGAGGCATCCATCCAGCGTAGATTCCTTCTGCACTGTGCTTCGCCTTGATGGCCATGAGCTCGGAGATCTCGCTGACGGTCGTTGATCAGGCGACGAAGCCAGGCATGAAGCGGGGAGACGGACTACTGCAGCTCCCTCTTCTCATCGCGCAGCTTTCCCACCTCGCTGAGCAGGATCTTGACCTCGCCTGCGAGCGCCTTGCTGAAGTCCGTCATGTACCTGCGCTTGTCGGGATGTGTTATTGAGCGGGACGCGACCAGTTCGACGCACTTCGGGTTCGGGGGCTGCGACGAGCGGCCGCCGTTTGGCGTCGTCATTGTGGGTTGCGAAAGGTAGTTGGAAGTACGAGATGGATCAGCAACAAGAGCGTGGAGTCGCGAGGCAGTGGCAGTGTTTCTTGAGCCGTAATTTCGATAAGGCGGAGATTGAGCTTATCTAGTATCGATATTGATTATCACTAGCGGTCTTGCCGCCGGCCCGTCAGTCTGGGATGAATTCATTTGCAACTTTTGCTGCTCACAGGACGCTCCCTATTCACCCTTCCCAGACCCACCGGAATCGTAGGAATTGCTGTTCGCCGCAGCCGATGATGTCACCGGATCGAAATGAGGCGGCGATGCCAATATCAATGGCGGTGTCAGGTGCACAGGAACGTTGGCTGATGTGAGCTGCGGCGCTCCTTCCGAGCACCCAACGCCCTCCATGCACCCGACACGGGACGAACTCGAACTGGTATCGCAGCTCTTTGCCTCCGGGGAGCCCAAGACGCTCGACGCCATCACCGGGACCCACGCCCTGGCGCTGTTCGCGAACACAGGCCTTTCAGACGAGGTCCGCCGCACCCGGGATCCGGATTTGCGTAATGGATAACACGCATCTAGGTTCTGGGACAGATATGGTCCATTGCAGACAAGGACTCGAATGGACAGCTCTCGCGGGACGAGACTGGGGCGCTGCTGAGGCTGATGGGATGGGCACAGGCGGGAGTGAAGCCCAGTCCTGATCTTTTGGAGAAGCGTGCGTCCGAGATGGGCTGCCCGGCGACGCAGGCTCACTCGTTTTGGATAGCCGGCCCTACAGCGCGTATTCCCTCCGTCTCCATCCCGGGACCTTCGAAGACACCCGCTCCCGTCCTCCCACCACTGACGCCAACAGACAAGGCGAAATTTCTGAAGCTGTTCTATAGCAACGGACCAGTTGAAGGTTTTGTTAGTGGTCCGTGCTTGCTCTTTCGTGACGTGCATCTCCCTTATACTGGTCCGCAGGGGACAGAGCGAGAGAAGTCATGTCAAAATCTAAACTGCCCGTCGAGAAGCTTTCCAGGATCTGGTACGTGCGTTCTCACTACTGTTACCCAAGCGTCTATGTACGAGCGCCGTAGGGATCTCTCAGACCGGACAACACGCGGTGCATTGGATTCGACGTCTTTCGTTGTGGCCATGTATCTCATCCAAGGGCTCATGAGCCATACTCTCTCCGCTCTTCCCGACACACTCCCGGATTGGCTGTTCGATCAGGCTTCTGCTGTGCCCCCGTCTCCATCCATTGTCATATCAACGACACCATCTCAAGATCCATTTGCGTCTCCGCACGACGAGACTCCAAGGAGCTGGGATATACCAGCCGAGATACGTGCCAATTCAGATCGCATATTTGATTCCCTGGATCCGCTACGAACAGGTTTCGTGTCGGACAGTGTCACGCTTCCTCTGCTGTTGGAGTCGAAGCTTCCTCCAGATGAACTGGCGAAGATTTGGTGAGCATCGCGCACGCTTTTCCGTGCGCCTCCGATCTCATGTCGAGGAGGTCCCAGGCAGATATCCGAGGCGACGGCAAACTCACTCGAGAAGGGTTTGCGATTGCGCAGTTCTTGGTCAGGCAACGGTTGGGAAGCAATGCTCGAACAAAACCAATGCCGCCCGCGAAGCCGCCGAATCTCGTTGACCACCGACGTGTCCGATCCGCCTCGGCGGTGAATGCGCTGGACAAGCCTGTGCCTCCCCTGCCGACGGGTCGGCTGCTTACTCCGACACTGCAACCAGCACCATTCAGATATAGCACCGCACCGCCGCTTCCGGCTCGAGATGTTCAGGCTGGTCTCCCAAGGCGATCGTCATTCGTGCTGTATCCCACGCTCCCAACACAGTCAAGCGACGCTCTCCCCATGCGACCCGATCGCGCAGAGGGTGAGGATCGATCTGTTCTCGTAGAATTCCGCTCTGAATGTTCGAAGCCGAAGCTGCGATCGCGCGACTGAATCGGCAATTGCGAGACATGCAAGACTCGATCACACAGCTGCGCGAGACGGCGGCGCAGAAGACGGCCATGGTGACAACCGTCACGCAAGAGAACGAGTCTCTCCGGGTTGTTATCGAGGAGTTGCAGGTGCAGCTGGTCAACAACGAGCGCGATACGCATCAAGTTCTCAATCAAGTCCTCGGCAAGGAAAACGACGCACTGCGGAAGGCTCTCAACACCGCCGAGAAGGAGCTTAAACAGCTTCAATCGGCGAGTTCCGATATAGAGATGCAGCGAATCCAGTACGAAGATCTTGTACGAGAAAACGAGCGCCTGTCAAGACAGATCGAGGAGATGCGAGAGTCGACGACCCAGCTTCCTTGGGCAGGCGGCGATTCGGAACTACAGACGCTCATCAACGAGGATCTCGCGCGGGAAAACGCGCGGCTGCGGGGAGTGGAGCGCGACACGCGGGAGAACGTGGCCCAGTTGCAAGAGGCCGCAGCCGGATTCGAGGTCCAGCGGGGAAGGAATGCCGATCTCATGCGCGACAACGAGCGATTACAGGCCACCGCGCGTCGAGTGCAGGCCAATCTGGACACCCAGCAGCAGCAGGTTGCGCAGCTGACACGAGAACTGGAAAGATACAAATCGAACGCGAGGACTCCCGCGCCTGCCAGAGCAGGTCCGAGTCGAGAGGCGGATGTTCCACCACCTGCGTACGAGGAATTGGACTTGAACGGGATTGTTTGATGGATCTGTGTATTATCATCTCAAGTAAATGTATCCGATGCATATCTACTGCCATCTTTCCCACAGAGCGAGAGAAGAACGCGCGCTTCGACTCGTCATCCGACGGATGGTTCGATAGTCAGATCAAGCAACGTGCCACTGAGCGCATCGAGGAACGGTGGATGTGGATCTTCGACCGATGCCGCCAGAGAGAAGCACAGAGGTCTGGTGAGGTAAGGATTTGATGTCATCAATGCTCGCTGATGGACGTTGCTATCATGCGTCACATTTTAAGCAGGAAAATGCAGACATATGGTCTCCGCCAACAAGGTTCGAGAGCGCATCACATGTCGTGGACTGTCCCTGCATCAACGGTGTACATCGAGTCTAAACGAAACACAAACATTCTAGAGCCAAGCGAGATCTAAGAATGCGAATCGTTTCTGGGGATGGAACGGCCGAGAGCTTCAACGGCATCATGTAAAACAGCCGTAATCGCACTTCTGGCCGCAGCGTCGGTCCCATCACCAGTCGCACGCAAGGCCTCGAGCGCGGCGAGATCTATCGGCTGCCCGAAAACGACGCCCAGTTGCGTGCCCGGCCGCGGAAGATATTTATACGGAAATGCGCGACCCTCGGGCATGAGGTGCTCAAATCCGCTGAGCCACATGGGTAGGATGACGGGGAGCGCGGAGACTTCCATCAGGACACGTCCGCTATCGAAAACAAATGAGCCCATGAGAGTCTGATCATGAGTCCGATGAAGGCTCACTGACACGCCCCATTTGAACCGCGGCAGCTGTAACAGTCCATCATCGTTTACGGGATAGTGCTGATGGATCTTTCCCTCGCTGAAGAAGTGGACCTGTTGGAGACATTGGGTGAGAAGATAGTCCAGGAGTGGGACGGGCGCACCCACCCAATTCCCTTGGTTGAGCTTCCGGATTGCGGCATCAACGGACGGCTGGTAGATGCCCATCCCGCGGAAGGTCTCGAGCACGTTTCCGTGGCGAAAAAAGGCAGAGAAGAGGCTTCAGAGGGCAAGGCACATGAATGAGAACTCAAATGACGCGTGTCGAAACGCGTAGCTCACGGATTAGTGAACATGACGTCCGACGCGCCGAGCGTCCAGCGGGTGGTTCGACGCTTCAGAAAGTATTTCGTTGGGATGGCACCCCATACGAGGGGATCATCAAGACTGCGGAGATTCGGATGGTTGCCTCACAGCTTGAACAGAGACAAGGCAGTACACACGTCGAGATGTGATTTGCAACTGCGATCAAGTCCCGGGTGAGCCAAATCAATGCAAAGAGCTGGAAAACCTACCTGTAATTACACCGTTCGAGCGCGAACCCTCGAGAGCAGCCTCAAGGTGCGGAAGCCCGCGTACGGACGCGGTACATATCGTCTTCAGAGCGGCCTTGCACGTCAGCTGTGCCACCAAAGGGAGCAGCATAGTGACCTCGCAGATCCAAATAAAGCCACACTTCGAGCTTAGTCATTGCCCCAAGATAAAGTCTCGTCTCACTCACGTCCAACTGTACGAGTTGACGACGGCCAGCAGGCGCCATGCTGGCCCAACTTCCGGCTTTCCTCCCATGGCTCGCTGCCCTCACGATGGTTTATGTCTTCATGTGGTTCTCTGTCTGGTCGGCCGATGACGGTCTTGACGCTCACGAGTCCGGTCTTGCCCTGGTTGCATCCCGTGCGCACCCTCTCTCCGTCCGCCCCTTCAACTTGCCTTGCTCAACATAACCCTTCTTTCCCTCCACAGGCAATCCGTTCAGAGAGCAAGGTCCCCCGGCCAACATGGCCAAGCTCATCCTTCTACGACACAAGGTGTGTGGGGAAGCATGCGCCGAAGCTTCCAAAGCCTGATGCAAGACCTTCTCTTCTCGCAGATTCAGACATCCACAAAAAGACGTCGGAGCCCCTCACAAGTCCGCCAACCCCACCGAGCCTGTCATCTCAGCCAACCCATCGTCCCCCGTCAACCCTCACCATGGGTGCGCTTCCCCAAAGCGGCCTTCGGCGGAAAACAATACCACTAGTTCTATCATTATTGCCGCCCCCTTTTCGCATGCTATAATACCCACTGCTGTCTTTCTTCTTAACGGCACCTTTTGCTTTGGTGTTTGGGATATAATGCTTGTTTGCCTTGAATCACAGTTGTAAAATACAGTGCTAGATGAATCACAAAACAAATACCACAACATTGTCGAATGCCCTAATCAAAGCGGGCGCTTCGTTCGACAGCGACCTGCTTCAAGATACCGGATCCCTTGGGTTTCCGCCGCTCCTGAGCTGCAGCCACCGCCGCTTGCGCTGCACTACCCCTCACAGATCCACCACCAGCTTTGGTACGTTGTCCAATGACGGTCGTCCGCCCAGAAACATGCCCAGTCCCAGCATTCCCTGCGCGTTTCTCGCTCCTCGCCCACTGCTGCATCCGGAGGTCTTGCTGGCTCTTATGGTCTGACATCGCATGATGACCCTAGCATGATATCAGCATCACGTCATTCGACACGATCACATGACCATTACCTCGCGTTTCGCGACCACTTTCACTCTCGGCTGATCTTCGTCCGAGTCGTGATCGATCCATGATACGTCCTCCACGTCCATTTCCGGCTGTGACGCGCGTGAGCGGATTCGGTAACGGCATGCTTACAGGGATCGCTTACAGCGTCGTGCAGGTCCTCGTTGTCCTTGAGCTCACGGATTCGTTGCACGATTTCGCTCCGCGAGACCGTTTCTCGGCTGTCCTCCTCCTCTTCATCCAGAGTCATAGCTACATCGCTGTCCGGAACTGCGTTTTGGAGATACGCAAGGTCGGCATCATCACCAAAAATCAAGTCGTTCTTGTAGACTTGTGCGAAAGCATTCGTCTGCGGATTGTTGGCTGGAACAACTGGTCAGAAATTGTCAGAGGAAGCACAGCAGCACGAATTACCCAATTCAGTTACGTCACCCCGGACGATGACTGGCTCATTACCCAACCCTCTTCTCATCTTGCGAGCTCTCAGATCGTCATCCTCGTCTTCACTGTCGCTGTCATCGACACCCAGACGGTTCCTCCGTTTCTTCTTCCTCAACTCTCCTTGTACAGCAGCTTGATGGAGCTTCTCAATCTCCAGATCGTCTTCGTGGATCTGCTCCTGGTACTTTTCCATCACCAGATTTTCGGACACCTTCACCTCTCCGTCATCCACGAGCGTCTCAAGAGTCTGGTCCAAATCCTCGTTGTTCTCATCTTCCTCCGGATCATCGGATTTACGGCCGAACCCAAATGCAGCAGCCATCTCATCCTCATCGGACTCTTGAGCCTCTTCGAATACAAACTCTGACTTTTCAAGCGGTTTCCTAGGTTTCCGGGCTGCTTTGACCTTCGCAATGGGCGACACTGGTGCTGGTGATGGCGAAGGCGTTCGAGTTCGGGTCCGCCTTAGCAAACGGCGTCGAGGAGAAGGGCCCGGGGGGCTATCGAACTGGGAAGGTTCAACGAGCGACAATGTGCTGAGCGGTCTCCGCAGCTGAGTCATGGAAACGCTCGGCTGAGGTGGCAGTGGATCTGCAGAGGAAGGCCGGTAGAGCTCAGCTTCATCATCAGGCTTTGTCTGCGTCAGAAATCTGGGAAAGCGACGATCAGCATATGGCAAGTAAAAAAGATAGAACGACGCACCCGTGGGCATTGATATACAACTCTTTCTCTTCTGGGCCCTGTTTCTTGTGCACGGCCTCCACCAGATATTCCTGCTCCTTCTCAAAAATATCACCCGCTTGGCGTCGGAATTGTTCGTCGACGTTCCTGACCAAATCCCCGTTTAGCTTCACGTCTTGTGTCAGATCTAAAGCGAGTCCAGGACCCCTTCGAAGTGCCGCGAAACTGGCAGGCTGGAGGCACCGATGAGCAAGTCTGCGCCGGAAAGTTCTGAAAGATCTCGCACCTTCAACGACCTCTTGCCCTGCGTGCCATCGTCAAAGATATCTGAGAACCCAGGTCTCAAAGCATCCTCATCATCCGAGAACTGAGAAAACGCTGCTGTCTTCGCTATTCCAAGAGGCCGGAAGCTGGGCTGAGGGGACAATTGACTGTTACCGGGATCGCTCTCGCGCTGGGAAGATCGCTGCAGCTGCGCAGTGAAGTCGAGTGCGCCAACGGACAGGCCCATTGACAGAGGTCTTCTCCGGCTCATGAGAGCGTCATCGTCTTCTTCAACATCGGTGTCAACGCGTTCGTGCTGGCTGGGAGACATTGAAAGACTCCTCTGCATGCCCTCCTCGAGTCCAAACAGCGAGCTGTGCCGTGAAAGAGGCCCAGGGCGATCACCGAGTGGTCGACGAGTGATGGAAAGGACCACGTTCTCCTTGTCTTCATTGATGGCGACCATATTCTCCTTGTCTTCATTCAGGTCATCCATGTTCTCCTTGTCCTCGTTCTCTTCGTCTTCGCTGTCCGATAGAATAGGCTGGGGTCGACGGGTCATCACACGATTCAGCATGGGGCTGTTCTCGTCGTTTTCGTCGTTCTCATTTTCTTCATTCTCGTTCTCGTCATTCTCGCTATCATCTTCGTCGTCGTCGTCGACCATCGTAGTATCGGGATCTTCCATGAAAGACGACTCTGGCCTATCCTCGGTCCAGTCCTCATCGCTCGCGTCATCCGACAGGTCTTCGCGATCCAGATGCATCCTCGCCTCTGCATTCCTCTGCCCTTTCTCAGCAATCGCCTGAATGGCTCCTCTCATCGAGCTATCTCCATCAGCACCAACGACCGGAGCGACCTGCCCACCCCGCCTCTGCCACTCCTCCTCCTTTCGCGTCGTCTCTTGCCTATTATTCTCTGTCACTCGAGCTTTGAGTAACGCATTCAATTCCGCTTCGGTCTTGGCAGCGGCGAAGGACTGCGGCTGGGACTTGTGTTGATGCGCTCGTTGCACGGACGGTGTGATCCCGCTTAGTGCCAACTGTTGTCGAACTCCGATGGACTGTCGGTGTCGATTGTCACTGTGCTGCCGAACGTTGCCGTCCAGCCTGCCATTCGGCACAATCTCCAGTTCGTCGTCATCGTCCGATACGTCGACTGCAGCGCGTTTCTGGGCCAGCGCTGCGAGTTGCAGCTTCCGTTCCATCAGTTCACGCTGATGTTGCTCGTGCGCCTGCTTTTGTTTGAGATGCGCGTGGATCGTGCTGACCTCGGGCAAGTCTTCGTCGTCTTCGTCGAGCACAGGCATTGGGTCTATGGCAGATCGGGTTGGGCTCGGAGCTGGTGGAAGCATCGCCTCTTCATCTGCCTCTGGGCGAACGGGGGTAGCCGCAACCCGCGTCACGTTCGGTGAAGAAGAGAACGCTGTGATGGGATCATCCATTGACATCGTTGTCCCAAGCGGAGGCTTACTGCACAGATCATGTCAGAGCTTTAACACTATGACTGCCCGAGAGACTTACTGGAGCGTTTGGAAGAATTGCCTCAAAGTCTTATTGGTACCGGGCATAGAGGTTTGTAGCGCAGCTTGACGCATGCCAGCGATCCGGCTGCGGTCACGAGCTGTATCTTGTATCTCTTTCTTGGACACTGCCTGGAAGAAAATTTAGTCAAGATCGAAAGAGCGAGAGGCAGAGACTGACTTTGACTTTCGGCCCGCTGGCCCTTTGTTTCAGAGTCGATTCCGGGATTTCCGTGAATCTCAGAGGATGAACCTGACCTCTGGACGAAGAGATTTGCTTGCCCTTGCCTTTGCTCGATCGAGGTTGGAGTGTGATGTTCGCTGGAAGGTCCTCATCACCCGAAGTTGGAGGTGTCGAGGATCGACGTGGTTTACTGGCAGAGGAGTCCGCAGTGGGGGCCAGAGGAGATGTCCCTCTGCTGCCATTGTCTGATTCTTCATCGGAATCGACCATGGTGGGGCGCCGTTTGGCCACCGGGCCTTGACGGCGTTTAGGAACGGCAGGAGGAGGTGACGCTGACACCGAGCGAATCGTTGATAGCGATTCGCCCAGTGCATTCGTAGTAGAATTTGCGCGGAAGATAGGCGAGTTCGGTTGTGTTGGGATTGCTTCATCGATTTCCGGAAGCGTCGGCGCTTGGAGCGCGGCCGACGCGTTCCCGAACTTCAATGTGGGTGTCACAAGCGCGCTCGACTCTTCAGCATCCTCCATATCATCGAAATCCTTCATCCTCGCCTTCCAGCCAAAATCTAACATGGGCAACGCGTCATTGGTCCCGGCGTGGCTTCCTTCGTCATCGGACGTAGCCACGTCAGAGTGTGTCGTGTCCAAGGTAGCTACAAAACATCTATGAGTGTCGTATGGGCACAGAAAAGTCGGCCATATGTATCACCTTTTGTTTTCGTCGAAATCAGTACGCTTGGTCCACTCTCGTCGAAGACAGGCGCCGATACATCTGGCTTAGGCCTACCATACGTTCGTACGACTTTGGTGGGTGGCAGATCTGACATAAATCTAAGCACTGCGGTAAATAATTGGGAGAGAGTGGAAGGAAGGGTGTAGATAGAAAACAGGCCGAGGAAGACGCTCCGGCGCTGCAGTCGAGTGTGGTTGGTTGTTGAGGAAAGTCACAGTCACGCGTTACTATACGCGTTCAACCCTAACCTAGCCTACAACTCATGCCATCATTCCTCCTGTCCCCCATTAACGCACGCCTAGTACTGTACCGATCTGTATGTAGGCGACAGCTCCCGGAGCGTTACCTCCGCCCGTTAGCGACCGAGCTCAAGTTACGCGTTACATCTTCCAAATTAGGCGACAGGCCGGCATCTCGTCGGCACAGGCTCGGATTGACAGTAAGAAGCAAGTAGGAACCGAATAAGCACGAAACAAGTACATTTTCACTCTATTCTCCAATGATCTACTGTTTTGCCTCAAGGCCCAGACTTGAGGGGCGGCCCATTGGACCAGCAGTGCCGACAGGTGTTCCGGAGGGCCTGAATAACAAAATGAAGACCCTTTTCAAATACATTAATTACTTGCTGCAGTCTCTTCTGCTCAATCCTGATGAATCAACGAGAACATCTGAGGTTATGGTTCTGAAGGAAAACTTTTGACTGAGGACTTGTTTTTTTGACCAGGAAATAAATCTTCCTGAGGAAGACGAATAAATTCCGATTTTTTTGGTGATTTTAGGACTCTTTTTGGGGCTGTTTTGGGCAACTTGTACCTGTTGGCGACGGGCCCTGCGTTACACGTTACAAGGGCCAAATTAGGCGACGCAAAAGTGGTGCGTTACGCGTTACAGTTGCCTACATACACATCGGTACAGTAGGCTCAGCGTTCAGCCTTCTTAGAGCCTGCTTGCAGTTCGGACCTGCAGCCTAAGCACCTAACCGCAACCCCTCTTCACCCGACTGCTCTCTTTTGGAACCCAACAACGATGTCGGACGAGGAACGACGACCGTTGATAGGTACGTCGGGGATTACTGTTATGAATAATTTCCTGCACTCAGGTCCTCTTGAAAGACCTGGAGAATAACGTTGTTCGCCATGTACAGAGCGTCTGGTCTGGCTTGAAAGGTCATAACCACTTCTTCCACGCTCACCTGTGCCTTGATACGACTCGCGTGCGGCAGGTTTCTTGGGACGCGACAATGTCCTCGAAGTTGCAGTCGGTCTCATTATGGCTGGCGGCTTCTCGAAACTTGTCAACTCCTTCATATCCGATGTTCTTCTGCCCCCGATCTCGTTGTTGCCTTTCCTTGGAAGAAATCTGCCTGCTAAATTTGCTGTCCTCCGCTCTGGCCCCAATCCGCCGTATAATACAGTCGAACAAGCTACTGAAGATGGTTTGTTATCCACTCGCTAAGAATTCCCCGTCGATTCTTATCTCAGGACAGGCGCCATAACTCTTGCTTGGGGTGCTTTTCTGGACAACCTGATAACTTTCTTTGCACTAGGTGCTGTTCTATACACTTACGCTCAATTATACGCCATCTTCACCAAAGAGTCCATCATCAAACACATTGTGAAATGCAAATATTGTCGCAAGGATATATCCGCAAGTGTATGTATTTCTGCAGCACAACTTTCAAACTTCTAAACAAAGTATTCCAGGCTAAACGCTGTGCTTTCTGCACTAGCTGGACTGATGGTCGAGATGAGAAGCAGGCTCAGCCAACTCACAGTGATCACCCTCTTGATTCGTAACGTGCGGCATGCGGACATGATAATCTTTTGGATATTGACTGGATGTACTCATTGGACCCTGCTTTCGCGATATTTATTTCGACTCGCCGTGGCCATTTGAACATTGAAAATAATGATATCGACGATTTTCTCGGGATACCGAAATGGGAAAAAGATTCTGGCTAGCTCAGCTATCCCGAGTAGCCTTGTATTCATCGATCCACTTCTTCTCTGCATCTCCTTTGGGCAGCACAACGAAAGTCAGACACCCGTCTTTCAGCTCGAGTCCATCCTTGAGCTCGCCCTCCTTCTCTTTTGCGGCTGTGCACACTTCTCGAAGCGACATCTTCTTGCCCACCTTCAACAACCGTTTCCTTCGCGTCATCGCGTACACAGCCAACTTCCCATCCACATATTCGTGCTTCGTGTCCCAAGCTGGCGGCGGTGCTTGGGGTGGAAACATGACTGCTAGATGACTGGAGAACGGCGTGTCTTCGACGAATTCAGGTATTATGTCGGATGTCGCGTATTGAGGATAGAGGAAGAACACGGGGATGATCAACGACGTCCCCGTTGGATCCTCGGGATCAAAATGAGGTTCGTATGGATTATCAAGATCGTCTTTCTTCTTCAGCACGATCAGATTCCGTTCCTAGGATGTGTGAATACTTAGCCGGACATATGCAGCCTGACACGGCACACCTTGAAAGCAGCGAGCATCTTGTACCTCGCCTCTTGCTCCTTTCGCAAACGTTCTTGCTTCTCTCTCTCTTTCTTTTCCTTCGCGTCCTTCTTGCTCTGTGTCTGTGCACGCACGGACTGCACGCCCTTGTTTTCAGAGTCGAACTGCAGACATCGGTCGCAGCAGTCAATCGCCTCCTCTGCCCTATCAAGGGCCACCAGCGCAAGAGCTGAGCGGTAGTACGCTTTCGAAGAACGCGCGTTGAGAGTGATAGCCTTGGAGCAGTCGCGCAGGACTGAGCCGTAATTTTCTTCGGTCGCGCGTCAGATTAGATTGTCGACATCATCATCCAACCCAGCACTTGCTTAGTTCCAGATTCGCAGCAGCTCGGTTGCAGAGCAGAGCTTCATGCAGGACGGGATCGGTAGGTTTTGCATCGATCCCCTGTGTGTAGAACCCTTGAGCTTCACGATATCGCCGGCCCTTGAAGTAGTCATTCCCTTGATCCTTGAAGTTTTCGGCCACCTCTGCAGAGAGTCAATATAGACCCTCGCTAATCAGCTTGGGGGAGACTGGCCATCGGGAGTTCCTTCATGAGCAAGACTCTGCAAAGCAGCAATCATGGGATCATCCGTGCTTTCCTCCGGGAGTGATTTCATGAACAAAGGGATGGAGTCGAGCTCCGCCATCTTCTCCTCAAAAGTAGCCTTTGAGCGCGGTCGCTCTGGGCCGAACTGCCTGAACAGATCGTCGTCGTCCATCGTCGTTCTAGGTAAAGATAGAGATGGTATTGCAATCATGGATCGGATCGTGATGATCTAATCCGGATCAAGGTTTTTGTGCCGACGTTACACAGCACTGCACACCTCATCTTCAACTTCAACTTTTAAGTCGCACCATGACCTCCAACGACAACGACCCTTTCTACCTCAGGTATGGTTATCATCTGGCTCTCCCCTCTGATCTGACACGCTCCCCAGATACTAGTGAGCATTTGCGCGTCCAATGCCAGGATTCACCTCTCAATCCATTTTCGCAGCACCGGCCACTCTGGCAAGCACGGCCACGAGTTTCTGGAGTTCGAGTACTCCCATGGACGTCTCCGATACGCCAACAACTCCAACTACCGTAACGACAGTCTCATTCGCAAAGAGAGTGCGTTTTCCCTCGCGCCTTTTCAAGGTGACGCGCAGCTGATCCCCGTCGTCCACAGTGTGGGTCGGCCCGCTCGTCGTGAAAGAGCTGAAGCGGATCGTCGAATCGAGCGAAATCACCAAGTACGTGTCTTGCTCCAGCGCCTGACCACCACGTCCTCACCGTCCTTGCTCGTCCTCAGGGAAGACGACACCAACTGGCCGAAGAAAAACATCGTCGGCAAGCAGGAGCTCGAGATTCGCGTGGGGAACGATCATATCGCGTTTGAGGTCCGTCGCACATGCGCTTCGGCGTGCTTTAAGGCCTGACAGCAGGCCAGACCGCCAAAATCGGCTCGCTCGTCGATATCCAGGACAGCGAAGACCCCGAAGGACTTCGCGTGTTCTACTATCTTGTCCAAGATCTCAAGGTCTGTTCTTCCCCGCCAGAGCGTTCAGGGCACTTATCGAGCTGTATAGTGTCTCATCTTCTCTCTCATCTCCCTCCACTTCAAGATCAAGCCTATTTAGAGGCTCTCTGCCGGAGTAGATTGCGAATGAATTCTTGGTATTGTACAGAAGATCTCAGCGACCATGAGCATCAGGCTGGTCTTCACCCCGTCAAGAAAACGTGCAAGTTCCGTGTCTGGTGAGCCTCACTATATAACTTCCACTTCATCACATCTGATCGTCCTTCTCAGGCGTGTGTTTGTATGCACCACAAATGAAATAATACAGAAAACAGCTGCTCTTCCAGCCAAAATCTTTGAGAAACATGTAATACATAAACGTACTGGTCCCTTTGAACGACCGTATCAGCTGTTGTTGTGCTCGATCAAAGCGGAGGAAATGTTGAAAAGTGCAAAACAGGTGCCAAGAAACCCACGCGGTGGTGTCCTTCCTACCACTTGAGGGACAGTTAACTTTTTGTTGGGGAGTCGAAAGAAGGACCAAGATAGAGGCGATAATTATTATTACCTTTCACTCACGGTCACGCCAAGCTGCCAACCGCCAGGGATTACTCGTACAAGACTAGACAAGACTCTAAATGAGCTGATACAGATGTGAATGCTAGGTGATGAGTGTAGATATTCCATGAGAATGAGATAACATCATAAATCAAGCCACCACATCCGCAGAACTAAAACTGCTTCGCCTCCTCCGCACGGGTCGCAACCCTGGCCGCTCAGACTTGGTCGCCGGCACCACGACCGCATCCACATTCGTCTTCATCCACGCGTCCGACTGCTCCTTAGGGGCGCGCTTCAGAGTCGCACTCGCTACATCCGTCAACGCAGCAGTCGCTGCCTGCCTTCTCGTCGTCGCCAGTGTCGGCAACCGCGAAGGCGTCGGCGAGGGCGGCGGGTTCGGTCGTCGAATCGCAGCAACGGCAGCCTTGGCGGCCGCTGTCGTGCGAGTGGTAGCTAATCGCGGGATCTTATTCGGGCCCTGCGATCCTTTCGAAGTCGTCGCCGGTGCCTTGCTCGTTGACGCCTTGCTCGTTGAAGCCTTGGCGGACGCCCCACTAGTCCCCGTGCTCTGCGATGAATTTACTGGAGGCCTTCTGCCCACTGCAGCAGCAACCGTAGTCGATCGAGTGACGCGGTGCGTTCGAGAATCAGACGAAGTGGGTGCCTTTGGTTTTCCCGCTGCTTTGCTCCGTGCCCCAGCAATTGGCAACGCCGGCAGCGTATCACTATCTTCATCATTATCGCGCCCGAGCTCATCCTCCGAGTCAAACTCCAATGTACGTTTAGTGGTCGGTGTCTTCCGTGGCTGACCTGGCGTTGCAATAGCTTTGGCCTGTGCCTGGGCTGCTGCGATGTGCCGACTGGGTGTGACGGGCACTGCAACGCCTTTCGTAGGAGAGGGAGGCGGAGTGGTCGACATCGGAACGGCAGGTAGATCCTCCTCCGCAGGCGGTGTTGCAGGTGTGACCACAGTCGCCGAGGCCAGGATCGCGGCAGCCTGCTGTCTCTTGACCTCATCCACGGCCGCCCACTTCGACCACTCCAGCTGCTTGAGATACATGTATTGCTGCTGGGGGCCAACCACACTTCCAGGTCGGACGATGCGCATGAAAGCGATCGCCTCATTCGCCGTGAAGCCGTATTTCCAAATCAAATACGCGCCTATGAGCGTACCTGTTCGGCCAAGTCCTGCTTTACACTGCGAACCATGTTAGATATCGTATCAGTGGCATCTTAAGACAACGCACGTGGACTGCCACTGCGCCACCAGCCTCGATGATCCGGTCGGACACATCCAGAAATGTCCGCACAATCTCGTCTGTCGGATTCGTACCATCGTCAAAGTACAACTCCATGTGCTCGATTCCGCGGTCCAGGAATGTGTTCCGGTCGTACAGCTCCGTGTTCAGGCGCACGACGAGCTTGATGTTTCGTTTCTCAAAGTAGTCCAAACAATTGAGGAATGGCGTGGGCAGCTTTCGCTGCAGAGCGGAGGACGACGTGCCCGGCGCCTTCTCCTTCGCTTCCTTCTCCTTCTTTATCCAAGCCGAGTCCACAGGTGATGCGAACGCAATAAAATTTGGCGTCAGCCAGTTCCAGTCTCCGTTCTCCACCTTCTCGTAGAACTCGTATTCCTCGACACTGAACTCGTTCATGTCACACAGCCCGTGCTGCATCGCCTTCCACATACCCCATAGACAATCCTGGATGTTTAGATTGAAGTCGGACGGCCCACGCCCCGCGTCCCGAAATGGCATAAACTCCATCTCTGCGATCGGGTGAAAGGCTTCCCAAGGGGCACGCCGGTGCACGATCATCTGATAGGATGGCGTCAGTGGCGATCACACTATCTTGAGACGCGCACGGACGACAAACAGCGCGAGCAACAACGCAGCATTCGCCTTGCGTCTCGGATCGTCGGAGGAATACAGCACCAGCCGATGGGGCCCGAGGTCTTTGTCCTTTGAGTGGACAAAACACACGTGGCACGTGAGCGTTACACGGGCGGCAGAACCACGCACGCACCTCGAGGAGTTCGTGTATCAGAATGCATGCTTTGTAGACCATCGCGATGTTGAGGGGGCCCCAGTCTTGGAAGAAGGAGAGGTACAGCAGCTGGTCGTCGATCGTGAAGTAGTAGTACGACGCGGTCTCGTCTGCCGCCGCGACCTCTGGATCTCGTGGACGCGTGCGAACGCGCGGGCGATTGTCGGGTTCAGCGGCGAGGCGGTTAAGGACCATGGGGTTCGGCGTCGGGTGCGGAAATGTAGTGAAATAGAGTCTGTGCGACAGCGGCAAGGTGGGTTCAACGCGTTCAATGCAATGCAGGAAAGTAAGGGTACCTATCGCCGAAACGGCACAGTGGCTCACACTTCGGTGGCATCTTTGAGAGATTACGAAGTGGAGGACGGCAAGGTGCTTCGGGACGAAGGAAGAACGCGACGAAGTTGGTGTTTCGAAGCGACACAAACAAGAGCAAACTCGTTTGCATGTACAGAAAAGGAAACGAGTAGTAAATCAGTTATGTATTGTAACAGCTGAATTCGGCCCGAATATGAACCATTGCATACAATATTCACAATACCACACAATAATATTTTAGTGGATGTGGCTCAGATGATTACTGCACCATTGCCTCGAATGCGGCGCGTCCATTTTTTCGGGGAACATCAACTGACCGTCAGAGGTGAGATGTCACACGCTAAAGATTGGATGCGGCCGAAAACATGGCCCCGGAGACGGCTGACATAGATCCATGTACTATAACGCAAGATAATGTGTCGCCTATTTCTCGGAGTGATTGTCAGACACATGTTAGATGAAGTGCAGCAGACCACTGTAGCCATATTTGACTGCGGGGACTGCCTGACATGGCTTGTCGTAGCAGCGTGAGAAACATATGTCCCAGAGAGGCAGACTTGAGCCGTATGCCACATTACTCGAGGGTGCAAGGGTTCTCAGAGGGCTCGGCAACGCACCGTGGACGAGCGGAAGGATGAAGACGTTATAAGATTTTGAGCCAGTACCCGCGCACAAAAAGAAAGAAGTGTCGTTGGCCCGACGAAAGAAGGACGAACAGGCGAGCTGTGAGAATCATGTACCACGGTGTTGGTAGAGAAATCCGCGAGGCCGAATCCCACGGAGGCTTGCGGAAAGGCAAACGCTGCTGCAGCAGAGGACAAGTTCTGCATGATGTCGGTTCCAGAACGTCTAGCGCCCAAGACACGAGGTTCTGCGGGCAGCGGCATTCCCGAGCGACTCTGTGTGAGTTCCGCAACATCTATCTCATTTGTTCCTCCACCCCATGTGCATCAGATTTGGCTTTCTGGAGATCGGCCAAGTCGTGCCCAGCTCACTTGGCTGGAGCCGATACTGCTCGAACAAGGCAAACATTCCGAGAAAGCCTTGAAAAAAGATTCGCGACTTCGCAATCATGCATGGACACAGTCAAGAGACAAGAGAGGACTGAATCACCCTCGATTGTACCCACAAACATTTCGAGGGGAGTGTCAGATGCCGACCGTTGCCAGATTTCAGCTAATTAGAGTCGGTGCGATGAAAGGAGGGTCCTTCCTTGAAAGAGGAGCGAGCTGATGCGGGTGAATCGTGGGGTGGGGAACGCGTAGGATTGCCTGTGCCTCATCTTGCTACCAGCAGAGTGCTCAGAGCTCAGCAATGAGACTTTGCTGCGCGGAATTTTTGCGAGCGCCTTACGCACATTCACAAGAAGCCAGGGAGTCGAGATTTTGAAGAGCGGTGCTAGCCCCAACATTCCCCAGGCTCGCGTCCATTGTGACACTCCATAGACGACCGTTCCACGCCCGGATTCGCTGAAATGTCGCCTTGATCGGAATATTTGGAATCAGACGCGCAAATCGCGTCCTCAGAAACATAAACGCGGAGTCGTGGGCCTGGCCGACGCGCACATGGCACCGGTACATGTTCCGATGATTGATCAGTCTGTGAGCTCTTGTTTGGCCGTCTCTTGCTCGAGGCTGACCATTCGTGGCTTTTGTGGCAGCCAGGGACCCGCTGCTGCCTCAGGACCGCGCTCTCCGTTAACACATCACCTCGTTCTCTCGTCTCCCTCACTACGCTTCCGAGATGCCAGACCATCAAATCTTCAAGGCGAGTTTTTTCCCTTCCGCCTGCAGAACGCACATTCTCAACGTCTTGCCCGTCGTAATACAGGCCACTTACAGTGGTATTCCGGTGTACGAGATGTATGGGTTGTTCGGCGCGATGAAACACGTCCATTGACCTCTCTGACACGTAGGATGTGCAAGGGCGTTGCGGTGATGAGACGGCGCTCCGATTCCTGGCTCAACGCAACCCAAATCCTTAAAGTCGCGGGATTTGATAAGCCCCAGCGCACCCGTGTTCTAGAGCGAGAGGTTCAAAAGGGCGAGCATGAGAAGGTTCAGGGAGGCTATGGCAAATATCAAGGTTCGCGTGCTTGTTCATTACGCTCATGTACAAGGAGTGTAAACCGTGTCTAGGAACGTGGATTCCGCTGGAAAGAGGTCTTGCTCTCGCCAAACAGTACAACTGCGAAAGCATGCTGCGACCCATCATCGACTTCCAGCCTGCAGCCAAGAGTCCTCCCTTGGCCCCCAAGCATGTTATCGCTAGCGGCTCGTCTGCAGTCCGCCCCTCCAGACGCTCTCATGCAGAAACTGACAGCCCCATGGTCAGCACACGATCCTCTCGACGCCATGTAGACGTCCCTGATGAGGAGTCTGAACACGAAACCATGTCGGACCGTGGGTCGGAGGACGGGTCCATGACCCCTTCTCCTTCCGAAGCTTCTTCTAGCTCACGTACGCCGTCGCCGATACACAGTCCGGGCTCGCACGTGTCTAACGGTCGTGATGCTGGTCGACGAAGACACCACAGTCCATCGAAGGGACCGGACCCACGCCAATACGCAGATCAACTACTGGAGTTCTTCATCTCAGACTCGAACCAACTACCTCATTTCCTTGTCAACCCGACCCCAGATTTTGATCCCAACATGGCGATCGATGATGATGGTCACACGCCGCTGCACTGGGCCTGCGCCATGGGCCGAATTCGAGTCGTGAAGCTTTTGTTATCAGCGGGCGCGGATGTCTTCAAAGTCAACAACTCTGGCCAGACCTGTCTGATGCGCAGTGTGATGTTCGCGAACAACTATGACGTTCGCAAGTTCCCCGAACTATACGAGTTGCTCAATCGTTCGACATTGAACATCGACAATTTCAATCGTACTGTGTTCCATCACATCGTGGATGTCGCCATGTCCAAGGGGAAGACGCATGCTGCGCGCTATTACATGGAAATCGTGGTCGGGCGACTATCCGATTTCAAAGGCGAAGTAGCGGATGTCCTCAACTTCCAGGACGAGGACGGCGAGACTGCGTTGACGATGGCAGCTCGTTGTCGCAGCAAACGACTAGTCAAGCTGCTCATCGACAGCGGTGCTGACCCCAAGATCGTGAACAATGACGGCAAGAGCACGGAAGACTACATTCTGGAGGATGAGCGTTTCAGATCTTCGCCTGCTCCCGTCTCTCGGACATCGGGCATGTCATTCCGCAACGCGCATGCTGCCAACGGCTCTTATGCTTTTGGGCCCCACAATGGGGATAAACCGCCGTTACATCACTCGGTAGCTGGTCAGCGTGCCAGCACACGTTGTGTGAATGATATGACGAACATGCTGGATAGTTTGGCGGCTTCGTTTGACCAAGAGCTGCGGGACAAAGAACGCGACTCGATGCAAGCGCATGCTCTCCTGTCCAACATCCAGGCTGAGATTCTCGAAAGCCAGCGCACCGTGAACCATTTGCGGAATCAGGCTGATGGCCTCGCTGCAGCAAAACATCGCCTAAAGGAGCTCGAGGGTGTTTTGAACACCAAGATGGGCCGCAGATATCGACTGGGCTGGGAGAAGTGGGTCAGAGATGAGGAGATGCGCGAGGCGGAGATCCGTGCTGCTTCAAATGGGCAGTTGGTCTCTCCGGACGTAAACATGGACGGTGGGACTGCAGACATCTCGGACCTGCTTGCGCTCTATTCGGATCTACCTACCGACCCTGAGGGTATCCGACAAGCGGGCGAGAGTCTTCGGCAGGAGATCGACCAGTTCCGCAAACGGCGGAAGGACACTTTCGATACGCTTGTGTCGTTCCAGACGGAAGCCGGCACCAGCGCACGGATGGCTGAATACAGGCGACTTATTGGTGCTGGATGTGGTGGTGTCCCCCCGTCGGAAGTCGACCACGTGCTTGGGATGTTGCTCGAGGTGCGTTGTGCAGTGCTGATCTGCGACTCGTCCTAATAAAGTTTCTGTTAGACTCTGGAATCAGAAGAGCCGAGCTCGTCCTCTACTGCATGGGGGAAAGCGACTTGAGCAGAATATATCTCCTTATTTGTATCTACTCTCTGTGTCCACCGCGCTGTCTGTAATACGTATGTACCGCCATAAATCGAGTTTCCATGTCAGACAGACACCGGAGAGTGCTTGTCCAATCAGATCCACAGTTCCGATGTCACGTGCGGAAATTACTCTCTTGCACAACCACGTCCGAATGGCGACTGCTGCTGTCCTTCCCAAAGGGCATCTGACGTCCGCCCTTTACAAGACGTTGCAAGAGGGAACGTCTGTGCCATGGACCTCCGACTTCAACCACATGCGCAAGCTCCCCCGACACATCCGCATGCACAAAAAAACGCAGGCGGACAATTTTGATCCCACCACCACGGATGCACCCAAAATCCCGAAGGAGCGTGTCAAGTTTTGGAACATTGTGCCCGGGGACCAAGTGCGCGTGCGAGGACGCTATGGGAACCGTCTCCGCGACGTGAGCAAGATTCGGAGATTGGAGAATCTGGTCGAATTCCCTCCGGTGTGCCCTGTCTATGTCTTCCGTGCCTTTTCGAGCTTATTCATGATTCATGTAGACCGACCAATCGTCGAATACCCCCAGTCCGGCGTACTCGTATGCTAGTTGCCAGCTGTACATCGGGGAATACGAGTTCCCGCCGCTTCCTGGTTCCAATGAACCCCGAAAACTACCGTACGCTCTTTGCAGTCAGTCCCGGCGTTTACGGCTCTGACGAACGTAGGGTATTCGCTGAACGGCTGTCAACTTCACCTCCGGTGTGGAACGGGCGAAAACACCGCTGGGAGTGGGAACGTTACGCTATCAAGACGAACCCTGTGGTTCCTCATCTCAAGGACCAGAAGATCCCTATTCCGTGGCCGGTGCCCAAGGTCCCGTTCCTTCCCCCGGGTGCGTGACTGTCGCTCCGCTAGCCAGCTCATCCACTGATGTTTCCACAGCGGGCTTATACGACACGAAAAAGTCGGTTGTCGCGAAAGTGACCTACGTGCCCCCGGCGTTTGCGAGCAAGCTCACTGCACCTCTGCCTCGTGTCCCGACTGAGGACGAGTACATCGAGGGGATGTCGCATCCGACGATGAAGCCGTGGTTCGGGCAGTCGCCGCCTGTCGAGAGCTATCTGCACCGCGAGCTGTCGAACCCGCATTCACGCGCCAAGAAGATGGCCCGCTGGCAGGCGCATCTCGCCTACAAGAAGTCGCTGCTGCTGGAGTATGTCGCGGCGGAGAAGGCTGAGCTCAATGGGCGGACGGCTAAAGAGGCTGTGGCTGACGCTACTTACAAATGGCGGCAGAAGTTGTCGGACGAGCAGGAGGCGGAGAGGAAGCGGAGATGGCTCACCCTGGCTGTTGCGAAGAAGTCCGAGAAGAAGAAGGCGCGCAAGACGAGGAAAGAACAGAAGCGCAGGGCTGAGCTCACTCGTCTTATCCTTGCGGAGGGACCCAACCAAATCATACCTAAAGAAGCACTTGGTGTTTGACCACCTCTTTAATGATTATGCACTGAATTTCTGTGCCATTCTAGAGCTGGTGTGAAGCGCAAATGGTATTGTGGTCTAGTCGAGGCAATGTCTCAATCTCGGTCTACTTCGCCAATTCATCGTCTCTGGTCACCGATTCATCTTCGTAGATATCTTTTACGTTCTTGGATCCTTCATGGGCCAACAATGATGATTATGGCCTAAACGGCCGAGAAACTTTGGTAAGACCTGAGAGCATGCTCCTGCTTTTGGTAAGGTGCGTCTCGCGAGCAGGGTCCGCTTTCCAACTTTATGTAAAGGGTGTGCCCAAAGTGTGAATTTAAAAAGCCTGAAATATCATTGGCCTGGACCCGTTCATCTTGCTTTCCTTCTCCAATGTCAGTTTATCAGTTCGAACAATCATAACGAGAGCATTAGCACTGCAAGTGCGCGCCAAGTATTGTAGGAAGACTCCGGTGATTGCCGGAGCTAGTAGCGACAACTGGCCGGGAATGGGTTTGTCACGATATGATCGTCCGGTGGCCCTGGCGCGTTCCTCACTGCTACCACCACCATGTCATCGTCGTCCGCTCTCTACCGGCCCATCTCGAGCGATCCTGAAGCAGAAGAAATCCGAGACGAGGTCGAAACCGTCCCCGTCCCTGGCTCTGCCCTGTACCTCCGTTTCTTTGCCTCCGGAGCGTTCGCTGACTCGAACGAAGCGCTGAAGAATTGGTGGATTATCGAATCAAATGGATTCATTTTATTCTTGGAGCCGCGACGTTGCTCCCGTGGAACGGTATGGTCGGCGCTTGAGGCAGCGCGGCGTCGGGAGCTGATCTGCGCCTGCAGCGATGATAACTGCCTTCCCCTTCTTTCTCTCTCGTCTGCAAGACTCCCCGATCCGCGTGGCGGCCACATCATACATCTCCTGCTCATTCACGTTCTCCAACTTCATCTTCCTCGCAAGGGCCACCGTGACCTCCAAGCAGGTGTGTGTCTGTGTACGCCTCCGGGCGCGAGCCCAGTCGCAACTCACGACATCTTCCACCAGACTTCCCCTTCAAGACGTGTCTCCTTCTCCACATTGGCTCTGGCTGTGCTCACGATGCTTCTCACGCTAAGCACGTTCACGCGGGATGTCACACCCGCGGTGTTCTTTGCCTTCGTGCTTGCCAACGGCATACTCCAGGCCTCATTCGGCGCGCACCTGCAGACAGCCATAATCGTCATCGCCTCGCTCTTCGGACCCGCGGCGGTCCAGGCGACCATGGCAGGCCAGGCGGGCGTCGCAGTGGCCGTGAGTTCCGTCCAGTTCCTCAGCGCCCTCGCCTTCGTCTGGGGCCAGTCGCCCAAGAGCCTGGAGACGTATGTGAGCGACGGCGAGCCCGAGGCGCGGTCCGCGATGATCTTCTTTGGGTTGTCGACCGTGTTTCTCGTCTTTACGGTCGCCGCGAATGCTTGGCTCGTGAACATGCCTGCCTACAGGACCATTGCGGGATCGCTGGAGCACAGGAAGGATGGCACCGGGAGCGCGGACGAGCTTCGCGGCCTTGTTTCAAGCGGCCGAGTTGAGCTTGTTGAAGAGAAGGGACATCTTATCCGGATCGCGAAAGTCAATGGTGCGCGTGCTGTGATCATCTGCACTGGATGCCGTCCTCAGGCGCGTTTACAGCGCCGTACGAATTGGCCGTGTGCTGCGTTTTCCTCGTCACATTGGTACGTTTCTCTTCTGCAGCTACCCAAATGCGGGATGTGACGCCTCCCAACCAGGCCTGCTTCCCTGCGATCACGACATCCGTCATGCCCACAAATCCCAAGACGCACCCGCTGCTGTTCAGTGCGCTGCATTTCCTAATCTTCAACGTCGGTGATTTCGGTGGAAGATATCTGTGCTCTTTCCCGCGGTTGCTGATCTGGTCGGCGAATCGTTTGCTGACGCTGTCCTTCGCGCGGGCTCTGTTCGTTCCGCTATTCCTCATGTGCAATGTGCAGTCGCATCCTGGAGCAACAAACCCGTCGGCACCGATCATCAATTCGGATGTCATGTTCTTCCTACTCTTGCTTCTGTTCGGCGTATCGAACGGCTATGTATCGAGTCTCTGTCTGATGGCCGCTCCTTCGCTCGAACACAATCCACGGCTGAGAGGGCGCAAGGAAGATGTCGATGTTGCCGCTACAGTCGCCACGTTCTGCACTGTGGGAGGTCTCGTGCTGGGCAGTTTTGCCAGCTTTGCGGTCCGTGCGGCTGTCTGCGAATGCAATCCGTTTACAGAACAGTAGTTGCATTGAGTGGAACATCATTGTACATTAAATTATGTTGAATAGATAGACTGACAGGTCGTAAAGAGATCGTGAACAGTGTGAGACGGACTAGCGAGTGGACAACATGGGCTGCCAAACCCCGTATGCGACTTCCTCCAGATGATGCAGCTCAACTCGACTATACATCACTGGGACCATGTTCATCTGAGCCAGTTGGTAAGTTTTAGGTGGTCTACAGGCGAATCGAGAGACCGACCTGCAGGTAGTGGACACAAGCCCGGGCCACTCTCCGCGCCAGTGCCTGCATGCTCACGCGACCATCGTACACGTCCAGCGGCACCTCATACGTCAGCGGGCCGTAGCCAGACCACTGGCGTAGTATCAGTCTAGTCAAAATAAAATAAAAAACGATCAATCACGCACCCGAACGCGGAGGTGGATCCGCCGGCTCCAATTCGCATGTAGATCCTGGAGCGTGTAGCTATCGTTCCCGGACAGCCGCGTCCGAGTCGACTGCGCATCCGCGAGCGAGACGCCCGCGAGCAGCGCGCCCTTGCGCTTGAACTTGATGTTCATCGAGGACGGCGAGTGATATCCCCCGTCGGCGATGGCCGGCGGCAGCGCGCTGTACGAGACGTTCGAGTGCCGGCGCGTCCGGCTCGGCGGGCGGGATGTGCTGTAGCCTATCATCCGATGGTCGTCCTCTGGGTAGTACGAGTCTCCAAAGTTTTCGTAGGCTGCAGGTTGCGATCGGTCGGCGGGTGGCACATTCGGCACGGAGGGGACTTACAAGGTCCCGTGAGACGGTGGCTGGTTCCATGCCCGTAAGAGGGGAATTGCTTCGGAGGTGTCACCCAAGCACATAGAGATATATACAAGCCACGCACCTCCACATCGTGTTCTGGGTAGTACCCATCGCTGTACGAGTAGCCTTGGTCGTGGTAGGCGGGATACTGCGCATCATGATACGGCGTCTGATATCCTCCCTGCGAGGCATACGGGAGCGAGTTCCTCCGGGACAGCGACCGCGAGAAATTGGCCATGGTGGGATGAAAGAGCCTCGAGTGAGTGGGCGAGCATGCGCTCGCAGGCAGCTCTTTATACCACCCGCAACGAGGCAGGCGAGCCTCGAGGACAAGGTCAGGTCACAACAATGGCTCGCGGGCCCAAGCGTTCCGTATCCGACCCGTGAAACAGAACGGATCGCTGTTCCGAGAGACTCAGTACCCTGCAGATGGACAGGCCATACGATAGAACAGCATTCCGATCTAGGGCGCAAAAGACGAAGCAGCAGCACATCATCAAAGCTAAAGGGGTTGGGAAAGGGAAGCAGACTGTGAGACAAAAGAGTCGAAATGAACTCTTGCTCGAGGCTACCACGCATTGCGTACCAGTGCACTGCACTGCACCTCGCCAGGCCAATAGCGAAACTTCGGGCCTCGCCAGGGGAGTGTCACATGCGAGAAACGCATTCACACGCACGTGACCGCGTTGGGAGACTAAATTAAAACCATGAAACCATATGGGTACCTACGATATGAGCACACTCAAAGCCTGCTTTGTCGCGTCCTTCGACTCCTTGATGATGGCACTGAAAGATCTGAACACCGGCGCACTCGCATCCTGCACGAGCTGGAATCCCAGACTCTCCGTCGTCGACACTACGATGCCTGCAGCCCGCATCTGGGCCCTGCACGCCGCACGGATGAGATCACTCCACGGAGAGCGAAGGAGAAGAAGGGGCTTACAGAGCGATGGGGATTTCAGCCGCGTTGGCCGATGAAACAGCATCGGCTAGGACGACGACTCTATATCCGCGTGCCACGAGGGAGAGGGCGGTTTGCAGGATGCAGATGTGTGCCTGGCCAAGACGTCAGCCGTATATCCGTATATGCATAGAGACACGTTCGTCAGCGGCCTTGCGCCGTGAGCAACGCGTCCCACTAGGATCCGCACCTCGTTACCCATCACCACTGCCGTCTTTATATGCGGTCTCGCTGTGAGATGCTCCACCACTTCAGGCGTGATCATCGAGAAGAGCGTCTTGTCAATCGGTCCGATGACTAGGCTGCCCAGCGAGGCCAGGTCGATCGCAGGGTCTGTTTGGCCGAGGGCTGGAACGGATGAGTGCCGGTGTTCCATGGACGAAGTTAACCGTGCTGACCTCGGCTCTTCTGCGTCGTGACGATAACTTCACATTCAAGAAGCTACACACAAGACGACATTCAAAATTCCGGCACAGTTCAGAGAGAGTAAACACACCTTCGCGATCTTCAGCATCTTATTGGTACTGGCCACCACCTCGTCGAAGCCATGGATCACAGTGCTGAGCGACGACCAGTCAACAGAGAGAGGAGTGAGCGGCAGGAGAAATTTCAGACCGAAATCTTTCTTGGATGTCACAGACGAAGAAGAGAGTCGAGGACGCGTCCATGTCGTTGATTATGAATGAGTCGAATAGACAAGGCGGGGTAGAGAGCGGGACAGCTGTCAAAGGCTCTCCATTTGATCCGGGGTGCCAAATCAGCGCTAGTCGTTTATCGATCATCTCCTGTTCGCACTGCGGCACAACCAAGGTCGCGCCTAACCGCTTCGAGGCGCATCCTGCACTCGCGTCCGCAACAAAGAAGTATAATCATCCACAATTTCGCTTCTATCCATTACATGATGCTCGAATCTGCTTCTAGAACTTGACCTTGCTCACGACGCCGTAGAACGCTTTGCCCTGTGCGTGCGCGATCTCCAGCTCGAGAGCAGACGGCTGTCTGCTGCCGTCGGCCGACGCGAGGGTTCCGGAACCCCATGGAGATCCTGTGCAGTTCGTTACTTCTGATCCTCGAACGAGCGTAGATTGGATGGTAGGATGAAGAAATGCGCATCGTGTCGTGCGGCGAAAGGCATCGAGAGCACAGATGCAAACATCGCCGACATCTCGAACAGCAAATAATGGAATCATGGACGTGCAACTCACCACCGTGCACCTCGCTGAGGTTCGTCAGCTGGGCGAAAGTGTGTGCGTAGCCGAGGGGGACGAAGTTGATGGAGTGGTGCACATAGACGCCGAGCGTGTTCTGGATCGTGGCTTCCTGCCCTCCGCCAAGACTGGCCGTGGCGACGAACGTGCCGGCGTACTTGCCCGCGAGGGCGCCAGTGGCCCACAGATCGCTGGTGTTGTCCCAGAACGCCTGATCAGAAAACACGACATTAGCAGCAGCAGGCATGGCGACAGAAGCGCGGCAGCGGGCTGACCTTCCACTGTGTGGGGAACGAACCGAAGCGGGTCGGGATGCCCATGAGGAAGGCGTCGAAGGTTGCCAGGGTAGCCCCGTCGATGATGGGGTAATCGGGCTTGGCGGGTGCGGACATTTTCTTCAAGACCTCAGCCGAGAGCGTCTCAGGGATCCTGCGGGGGATTTAAGCGCGCTGGATGCGCTCAAGTGCGCGGGATACGGACTGGAAGATGGTTGCATCGCCGCCCGCTTCCTTGATACCCTCCTTAATGGCCTCCGCCACTGATTCCACGTCGTCAGGCGCAATCTGTGCGGTCAAGAAGAAGAAAAGCGCACTTTTGGCGATGTGGCCGTACATGCTGTAGATGACGATGGCGATCTTGGGCGAAGACATAACTAGTGAGACGGGAGGAGGAGGACGAGTTCTGAGGTGCAGAAGCAGGCGCCATGTCGCGCTTTTTATTCCAAATCCTGCGTGGGCGACTAACAGTCTTGCTAAGTTGTTTCTAAGAGGCGACGATCCTGCTGATGTACTCTTAGCAATAGATTAATAATTGATCTGACCAACTACAAGCGCTCATGTCAGGATTTGAATATCTCTTATCCTCCCTCCTGGTCGGCTCACATGCTTGATGTAGGGCAACCAGTCGCTTCTTCAGGAGCCGTTAAAGACGGATCGAAAAAGCCCAAATCGCCCCAGATTCTTCTATTTATCTCAGGTATTGCGGATATGTGGGCGCTAATTTTGGTCACGTGCACGACGATCGACAGCGCTCAAGCGATCGCGCGATGAAGCGCTGGCCGCCAAATCGTGCTCCGTCATACCCGGAAAGCGTCCCATTGGGCTCAGTGAATACCAATCGTCATTGGACTCACATTTTGTGGAACTGCTGGTCAGTATGCTCGAACAATAGCCGTGGGGCTCCGATCAGTGCCTCCCCCCAGTGCGAGAAGTGGAATCTGAAAAGATTCTGAATAACCTCGCGAAAATTATGCTTTGGTTTTGATGCTTAAAATGCGAGATCGTTCACTAAAAGCCATAGAAGCTAGGAAGGTTGGGATGTTTCAGGAATCGCTATATAGGATTTTGTATACTCTTCATGCAGAAGAAATATTTGCAATGCAGAGAGATTAGAGACAGATTTCACGAGCGCCGTCTATGCCCACGGCGCTACCTATCATGCCCTATCCAGCATCGAAGTAGCATTACGTTAGTCCTCTCCGCGTGACTTGCTAAACGGGCAATTGAGTAACTATATCGGGAATTGATCCGGCTGGGGTACCCGGGCCGCTTGCGGCTGAGTTGGTTCGGTGATATTTCAGGAAAGAGGGTATCACTGAGCGCATATATCCAACGCTTAGAGAGCTTCAGAATTCTAGCTCTGAGGCTCAGAAGCTTTATGACGTCGCTCCTTTTAACCCTCTACAACGGTCGATCTCAATGCTTTACTAGAGTGCTGAGGATGAAACCTCTCTTGCTTTGCTCGAACACGGCCACAACACGCGTCAAGCTCACCCAGGACATCTGACTCCCACGTCTTCTGAAATAAGCGGCGACAGATGCTCTGAAATACCATGCCGTGGTCAACTTGGGAAAAGTGAGTCGTGAACCGACACGACGTCTTCCAAGTTTCAACTCTCGCACACCAGAAACATCCGCTCTGAGTCGTCCAAGTCGATAGATTGAAGGAGTGGAGAAAATGACCACTGATCCCCTGGATATTGCGAATATATCACCCTCCGAAGCGAACAGTTCTCCACTTTTTATCAACAGGCCGATTCGGCGGAGGCCCCCACGATGTCCGGGGCCTTGTGCCTCCTGTCCTGACCGTATAAGGTAAAAAATTCCCGCTCGAGCCCACGGCGAACAGCGCCCAGTCGATCGTCCGTGACAGTCTACTGAGGTCATCTATATTGTTCTGGCTTCTTGTTTCTGATAATTACATCTATTTTAAAAGTCTAGAACTTGACCTTGCTCACGACACCGTAGAAAGCCTTGCCCTGGGTTTGCGCGATCTCGAGCTCGAGCGCAGAGGGCTGGCGGCTGCCGTCGGACGAGGAGACGGTTCCGGCACCCCATGGAGATCCTGTAAGAGTGATCAGTCCTGGCCCAAGAAACTGCAAGGCGTCGATGTATGCATGAATCAACAATCGTGTCATGAGTCGCAAGGCGTAAAGAGCTCAAGTGCGATCATCGTCCACGATGTTGGACAAGGGAATGATCGAAGGACGGTACTCACCACCGTGCACCTCGCTGAGGTTGGTCAGCTGGGGGAAGGCATGTGCGTAGCCCAGGGGAACAAAGTTGATGCCGTGGTGGGCAAGGACGCTGAGGGCGTTCTGGACGGTCGCCTCCTGTCCTCCGCCGAGTCCGGCAGTAGAGACGAAGGCACCGGCGTATTTGCCGGACAGGCCTCCGGAGGCCCAGAGTCCACCGGTGGTGTCCCAGAAGGTCTAGATAAAAAAATAGGAGATTAGGAGGTATGTCGGTGGAGGTCAGGTGGTTTTTCTCACCTTCCACTGTCCGGGGAAGGTACCAAAGCGGGTGGGGATGCCCATGAGGAAGGCGTCGAAGGTGGCCAGGGTGGCCGCATCGATCACGGGGTAATCGGGCTTGGGAGGCGCATACATCTTCGTCAGAACCTCGGCGGGAAGTGTCTCAGGAATCCTGCGAGGATCGGAGGATCAGAGGGATAAATGAGGCTGTGGGCTCTATGGAACGCACTGGAAGATGGTGGCGTCACCACCAGCAGCCTTAATTCCCTCCTTGACGGCCTCCGCCACTGATGAACATCGTCAGACGCATTGAGCACGTTCAAGCAGATAAAAAGCGTACACTTGGCGATGTGGCCGTACATGGTGTAGATGACGATGGCAATCTTGGGGGAAGACATGGTTGTGTAGATGAGAGGAGAGGTTGTGAACTGCAGAAGAAGTGGCGAGGTCCCGCTCTTTATTGCAGATGTGTGGGAATAACATTCCCGCTAAGTATAGCAGATGCGCCAATCCTGCTGATGCGCTCTTTGAGATCTTACAAACAAACCGTCATTTCGGATCACCGCGCCGATGTCAGGACGTGTCTCGAATTTTAATGGGGTCTATGTTGGAGCTCCAAGACTCTGCGCACTAGGCCTCTATGACGCGTCCTGGACGCGTCAAATTTCTTAGTCGTCTGGGACACATTTTTCTTTCCTTAAAATTGTGCTATGAAATAATTGTCGGGCAAGGGCACTCGATTGATGACAGGCGGTGTCGCCGCTTGAGAATTAGAGCGTATTTCCCAATAATCAATACCCAAGCTGAGCCTCTTGGAAAGATTTTTCAGGTAATTCCACCACTAAATGCCTTCTCCAAGACAAAATTTTGCTTGAAATCGACTATCCTCTTCGGACTGGGCTGGATGTCACATTGGCTCACGTTAGCTGGGGAGACCGCCCAAAATCGGATCAGCCGCCGGCACAAATTTCTCGGCCTGGGTTTGGTTCGGGATTCTCCGCTTCCACGTGACTCACGTCTATCACTTTCCCCGAGTTTTCAGCTTCTGTCTTACAAGTCGTCTTTGAAATCATACATCCTGCCCTCGATATGAGCAGAGTAGTATTTGGTAAGTGACGGTCGCCCGCCGCAACCAATCCGTGTTTCGATTCTGATGGGTATACTTAGTTGGCAATGTGCCGTATAACATGGGTGAACAAGCCCTCATTGATCACTTCAAGACCGTTGGCCAGGTTGTGGGATTCAGGTCGGTGCACGCTCACCCATCCCAAGCCTCGTCTCATCGTCTCTCTCGACTCGAAGGCTCGTTTTTGACCGAGATACTGGGAAAGCGAAAGGATACGGATTCTGTGAATTTGCCGGTACGTTTCTTCCGCGTCGCCTACCTCCTGTTAGGCTATAGTGTGGTTCAAATTTTCCTTGTGCGTTCGTTTTCTGCGTGATCTCGAAAAGACCATGAAACCGCCTTGTCTGCTGTCCGAAATCTGAACAACGCCAACGTTGAAGGGCGCCCGTTGCGCATCGACCTTGCCGACTCCGATCCGTTTCTTGAGGGCAAGACAACCGTGAAGGGAGAGATATTGGACTCGGGCATGCCGGGACCGAATGAACCCAGTAGAAATCGTGGAAGTGGGCTCGAAGGGAGCGAGATACTGGCTTCCATTCCGCCAGGGAAGCGTCTGGAGATGGGACAAATCGCGACAGAGTACATCACCGAATTCATCGCTCAGATGGATCGTGCACAGTTGTATGAGGTGCTAGCACACATGAAGGTGCGCCCGCCTTGCTCCGCCTGCAGGCTCTGCCGTCTGAACATCCATCCCCAGGCATTCTCCATCACGCACCCCAAGCACGCTCAGCAGTTTCTCTCGCACCACCCTCAAGTCACGTATGCCATATTCATGGGTCTGATCACGACCAAAATACTGCCGGAAGAAGTCTTACAGCGCATGATTGCTGCCAACGGCCCGAACCGAAATACGGGCCCAGCAGGGCCCCCGCATCCGCAAATGCCGCCGCAAGGCTACAACCAGCAGCGGCCGCCCTCCGGATTCCCAATGGCACAACCCCCGATGCAACAGCCCCAGCCTGTGCACGGCAACATGATGCCCCCAGGCGCGACGATGTACCCCCCTCCGATGCACATGGTACCCCCCACGGGAATGCCGCCCGGCGCTGCCGCTGCTGCTGGTGCCCCGCCGTACTTCAGGCCACCGCCTGCGGCACAGCCTCCCCCAATGCAGCCGCCGGCGCCGGCAAACGGTGTGCTCGACCAGCTGCAGAACTCCGGAGCCGGATTTGATACCCAGGTTTGTGGGTCCACGCATCCGAGCAGATATGACGCTGATTACTGCTAACCGTAGATGTTGATGCAGATCATAAGCAATTTGACTCCTGCGCAGATTAGGGACTTGCCTGAAAGTGAGCGGGCGACGTTCGAGTCGCTTGTGAGTTGTCTCCTGATGTTCGTTGTGCAATACGGTCATACTTTCCCCCCAGAGCGCAATGCTGAATGCAGGGGGTGTGCCCAGGACTTGATTTGACTGACTACCATCTATCTACCTACGCGTATTTCAAACAGATATCTGTGATTGCAATGTCTCGGATCTGCACAAAAGCGTATATAGTAAGTAATACAGGAGACGAAAGGCGACATTTTTACCTACATACAAAAACAGGAATCAAGAAAGCAACAAAATCGGTGCGTGTGTATGTAGAATGCGGTCGATACGATAGAAATAAAGGCGAGCGAGTATGCGTTGTAGTATTGGTCGGCGGAAAGCGTCCATGACCGCCCATTTTGTGCATGAGAAACTTGCAACCCCGTATATAGCTGAGCGGAAAATGGAGAATGACATTCCCCCTAGTATCCATATCCTCCCCTGCCAGAGCCTACCGCACTGACAGCTTTGCCCACGGGCACATTGACCGCAACCGGAGCGGTCGGTCCGTTCGACTGAGGGCCGGCTGCTGCTGCGCCGACCAATGCGCTCAGCCGAGAAATCTCCTCTCGAGACGCAACCAGTTGCAAGGTCAGGCGGTCGTTTTCGTTCTGCAAAAACTCGACTTTGGTCTGGAGCGAGGCCAGCCACGCTTTTTTGCGCTGGCGACACTTGAGCGCAGCTGCCGAGACGTTAACATACGGAATGACAGGAATGGTAACCATCGCCGTACCTTGTCGGTTTCGTTCCAGAAAGTTTTTGCGCTTCTCCTCTTCAGTCTCGGGTTTCTTCCCCCGTGACCGCGAACTCGTCAAAGCCGGCACATATTCGGGGCCTTTGTCGCTGTCCTCGTCATCGTCGTCGTCATCGTCGTCTATATCCATGTCATCAAAGTCGTGCTTGGCCCGGTTAGACGACACGCTGCTCGTGGTGTTGCCTCGCGCACGCTTGCGCGGCCCGGGGGCCGTAGGCGGTGGTGCGACGATGACATTGAGTGGTTCTATCGGCGTCGTCTTCCTCTTCGTTCCACGCTTGTTCGTTGGGGGTGCAGCGACAGCGACGGGCCTGTCCATGGCGCCGCCGTTCACAGCAGCCCCGCTGATCGTCCCGTTCCCGTTGGTGTGCCGCGCGGCCTCCTCCCGCTTCGTGAGCTCCTGATGAGCCTGGGAGAGCAGGAACAGCCCGTTGGCGGCGTTACTCGTCGCAGCGTTCGTGTTGGTGGCGAACTCAGCGCCATCCATATTGGGGTAGTTGCCTGCGTTCAGCACACCCGTTATCGCATTGATGGTGTTGGGCGTCATCGCAGCCATGAAGGCAGCTGTGCCTGGAGAGGCTGGGAACGCAGTGGGGCCGCCAACGATGGGGGTGAGTCCCGTGCCTGGAGTTAGGCCCGTGCGTGGAGTGAGTCCCGTGCGCGGTGTTAGACCTGTGCGAAAGGAGGCATCAAATGGAAGGTGCGACGAGGATTGCTGGTCCCCGCCGTTCTGGGGCCCTGCAAGCATCGCAGGGGACAGAGGGCCGCTGCGTAGGGAGTTGGAGAGCGAGGGGAAGGACCAGGAGAATGAGTTCTGGTCGGCAGGGGATGCCAGGGCAGCAAGAGGCGGGAGAGTCGGGCGCGGAGATTTGCTTCTTCGGACATCGGGCGCAGGGGCGGCGCGTTTGTCGGATTCCTCCTTGGTGGGCGGGGTGGTGGTGCGCAGATTAGAGTTGGGGGCCGAAAAAGACTGCTCGAAGGGATTGGGCTCGAGGTCGAAGTCGGAGCGGGTCTGTCGGCCAGTCGGACGAATCTTAGCAGAGTCTGCGGATGAGTCTGGGGAATCCATGACGCAGGGCGAAACTTGTGTTTTGGCAGGGGGCAAGGATGATATCACCGTCCGCACTCTAGGTCTGACGTAGTTCCCTTAAAAAGGGGTTACCTAATCATGCCCACGCCGAGACGGTCACGCAGGTGACCTCGTGACACTCCACGAGTTCTCACAAGTTCCGATCCAGCCGCTAATGGGGTCTCTGCATTCATGCCCCGGCACACGGAGGCGATACACAGTGCATACATGGCCGATCCCCCTCATCCCTGCGCATCTGCTCCTCGGAAAACTCGGGGGAAACAGCTCCCAACCAGCTCGCAAATGAAGCCGTCATCTGGGCCACGAATGGCAACAGATTTCCCACAGCTGTCACGAGCTTTTTTTTCCCACTCCACATCCACCTTATCAGCCGCTGTCTGCGTGCAATCCTTAGTCTCCCCTTTCATGGATTCCGGTTTCCGAAGTGCAAACGGTCGTTGTCACCTCCGGCTCGAGCCGCTTTGCACTGGTGGCGTTGAAAAGAGGCTTTCCTCTGGCTGAAATCAGACCCGATGACGTGGCGCGCGAACAATCGATGCGTGCAACGTAGTGTTGTTTGTTACAATCAAGATTCCAGATGCTCTCCCACACACATAAGTATGCCGAAGTTCAGCCTTATGATACAGTTTTTGTGTACATGCTATCAGAAAGCACCAGCTCGCTTGGTCCAGGCGGTCAACGGCTGGTTGACCACGGGCTCCATGCTGGACTGGGCCCGGGCAGTGATCTGCAGCTCCAGCGAATCGAGGTGGCCTCCTTGAGCCTCCAGCGCCCAGATCGAGACGGCCAGTGTATTCTCTCCGTTGTAGTTCAGGATGCCTTGAGGCACAGGGAACGTCGTTTGCGGCCCAAGGTTGCTGACTGTACGATGTTCATAAACATGGATCCCGGCAGACGGGCAAGTGCACACTCACTGTATCTGCCAAACTGATACCCATTGACATAGAACTGAGCGCGGATCGTTGATTTGGCACTCGCCACAATGGCTATCGGGTAGTCCACGCCCGCAGAAACGTGTAGATCGAAGGTGGCGCGGTAGAAAGCAACACCGGGGTGCCCCACTGCAGCAGTCGGCTTCTGGTTCTGCCATTTCGAGGCATCGAATCCAGGCAGATGCCATCCCTGCCGCTCACCAAACAATCCTCCCTCGTTAAGCGGACCTCGCGTCTTGTCGACGTAGCTCTCGCCTCCCAGATTGCCAGTGACTTTCCACGTGACTGCCGTGCTGTTGCTGCCCAAAAACGAGTACCGCAAGATCCCCCGCGGAGACTTGAATCCATCAGCAGCAGCTTCCCAGTTTTCATCATAGCCCATCGTGTCTTGCAGGATGGTCAGCACGTGTTGGGAGCCTTGCTTCAGACTTGCAGGGAACGCGAATGTCCCATTAAAGTCTCCATGAGCGCCATCGCCTACGAGGTGTCAGCACGCGTAATCACACCCATCAGGATGTATGTGCACACACCGATCCAAGACCCAATGAACGTCGAGTCGAGCCAAACGCCGTAGGCAAATGCTGATCCACCCTGCACATCGGCGGCGAACCCGGTCTCCTGCCCGGTCGCAGAGAAATGCGCGCGCCACAGCAGATTCCCGGTGTGATATCCGTAGTCGCCCGCGTAGAGAACAACCGGGGTGGTCGGCACCGTCGGATTGACGGTCGTGGTGTGGTCAGCTGCCGTCCAGAGCGCATCAGAATAGGACGATTGAATTTCTGGCAATGAATCGGCGGTTTTCTATCAATCATCTCTTTCAGCAAGTATTGTGCGGCGCATACGTGACGACACCCACCCAATTCAGAGACGACAAGTTCGGCAGAGAGACGGACGGCAGATTTACTCTCAAGCTGGCTGTCAACGTCCCATAGGATGTCGTGCTCAGGCTCAACTTGGCGCCGTTGAAGGTCGCCGAGTGATATGCTGCGGGAGCAATGATCTCGAATGACGTCGTTGTTGTGTTCAGATCGCCCTTAATGGCGAGCGTCGAGCCCGAGGTCGTCAGCGAACGCAGCAGATAGCCCCCCTTGACGATGATGGGGTTCTCGGTGCTGTACGCCGCAAAGTCTCCGCTCGTGGGGGGATGGAGGACCCAGAATTCGTAGGCGTTGACACGATCTATGGAAATCGGTCAGGATACTCGTGTCAAGGATTCCGTTCCGTTCCATGCTGACCAACGATATACACCAGGGTGTTCCCGATCTCAAGCACGGTTTGGCCGGTTGTTGTGTATTGAACGGTCAACAGGTCAGATGCAGCCTTGGTCTTGATCTTGCCTGATCCTGAGACAACGGCCACCTTACCGGCGGTGGTTTTGAATGCCGTTTCGTGTAGTTCACCGGCATTGCCGTAGAGAATGATCACGTCCCGGTTGTCAATAGTAGCCCTTGAATGAAATGAGCGGCATTCTTACAACGAGATGAGCCGGGCTTTACCAAGTCAGGACTTCGCCTGTGGAGTAGACGAGGGTCGTCGAGCCAGCAATGTAGTCAACGACCGCGATCTTCGAGTCTTTTCCGTGAAGCTGCAGACTGCCGCCCAGCGCAGGGATCGTGATGTTTCCGAAACTTGTCGGCAGCGTCAATGTATACGTTTGCACATCGTGAACCGACGCATCAGTTTGCCTGTCCGGCCTCAGCAGACCGAACTCGGTGACCATACAAGCTGCTCACCTGACCACGTAGAATCCCGTCTTGTTTCCCACCACATCGAGCACTTGGGTCGTCTTCAGAGCTTGGTTTCCGGTGAAGCTGCCCTGGCTCGCCCCGATGTTCATCGGCCGGGTTGTCAGGAAAGCGGGCGAGGCAGCTCGGAAGTAGGCCTGCAGCTTGAGCTCGTATGCTTTCTCGCGCAGAGTGCGGTCTTCGGCGATCGCCGACCCCTGTTCAGATTAGATCATACCAAGCGACCGAAGGTCGAAACTCACATAATCGTAAGAGGTGTAGACGCCGGGATAAGCAATCCCTCCCCAGTTAGTGCCGCCGTAAACCATATACAGATTGAGCATCGTGGTGGACATGGCGAACTGATTCTTGTAGAACACTGCAGGATGTCAGATTACCCCGCAAAGCGTGGTGCAACTGGGACATACCGCGCTCGAATTCAGGCCCCGTCAGCTGCGAGCAGAGATCGTAGCCAGCGCCACCCCATCCGTCGAGAGCTCCGCCCTGGAACTCGAAAACCGCATTCGGCGATTGGGGGCTAATTTGCATATGCGCACCCCAGAACCATCTACCGCGGGGTCAACACGATTCAGGGAAGACACCAAAAGAACGCACTCTGGAACGGCATCAGCCAGCCAGTTGTCCGGGACGGTGCAGTTGAAGCCATTCGGATACGAATCGTATCCGTAGATGTCCACATTCGTATAATGTCCGCCGGCCCAGGCGTCGTTGACCGTCAACGGGACGGTAATTCCGGCCGACCGCAGGGTCTCCTTCAGATCGCTCTCGTACGTAAAGTCTTCCGTGTACGGAGGCTGGAAGCCGCTGTATTCGTTCTCCGTTTGCACCAGGATGACCGGTCCGCCGTGCGTGATCTGGTTCAGCGCAATCTTCTCCCCGACGGCTGTCATGTCTGCAGC